CGTTCAAAAGGCCAACAACCATGGAAAACAATCAGACATGAAGTGGAAGCAGGCTTCCAAGACAGTAGACGAACAACTTACGTCCGATCTGTCTAATGAGGATCTGTGGTTGCTTATTCGGAGGTTTAACAAGGTATGTCAAGTTCATCCCATCTACAGGAACTATAAATCATTTTAATGACCCCTCGAGTAGCAAATACATCATGTTAAAGCCTTACAAGGTCCTCCTCCAGATGAGCTGGATCTCAACCGGGCAGACGAGGAACAATTTCCCCCAGAAAAGCTGCGGGCAACTACTGAACGGTTCTATACTTCTGTGGTTGTTGGGTTGGTTAGTTTCTTCAGTCACATCACTAGACTGCGGTCATGGAGAGAGCCTAGGCGTACCGCAACGTTCTGCATAGTAAGTTACTGTCTTTTGTGTTGAACATGGAATATTGGTTTCAAACTAACTTGCTTAAAGGTGTACTTCGCAGCATGGTTTTTGGATATACTTGTTCCTATGACAACCTGTGTTCTTGTTGCGTTGATTCTATTCCCATCGACACGATCCCTGCTTTTCCCTCCTAGTAGCACTTCAGGAAGTGGCTCAGATGCTGGTGGCGCTGAGCAGTCTACGCGTGATAGCATCACCAGTGCTCCAGAGACATACAAAGGCGAAGCAGCAGAGCAGGAGGCCTCCAACTTGGTCAACGATATCGCCAATGTCGCTATGGAAAGTGCCCGAGGCAAATACGGCCAGTCAGTAATTGATGATGATGCTGAGGGGTCCTCTGAGCCTGAACCAGTCGATGTCGGGGCAATCACGGCAGATGTGCAAGCTGAGAATGCACCAGCCGAAGATAAAACTAAAAAGCCTATGAAGAAAAAAATGTCAAAGGCTACTAACCAGACGATGCGTATACTTGGTGATATCACAGATATATATGAGCAATTTTCCAAGTTAGTATTTACCCCAATACACAAAGAAATATCTCTGACCAAGGCCTGAATAGTCTTCTATCCCCTACACCACCGTTCCTTGCCATCGCACCCCGTCTGCAACTGGTAGGGATATTAATATCTATAGGTCTGATGTCTCTCGTCACGTCGAGCCATTTTATGATCAAATCTGGTAGCTTTTTCTTTGGACTGGCCATCTTTGGTGATCCTGTCTTGCAACGCACTATAGCCATCCTGAACGACAAGATTGCAAACTGGAAAGAGTACCTAGACTTACAAAAGTAATTCCCCTTACAAGAAGAGGAACACTATATATGCTAACTAGAATCTAGCACCCTTCTAAAAGGTGTCCCCACAAATGCCCAACTCACACTAGCCCTTCTTCGTCTTGGTGAAATCAACTCCACACCGTTGCCTCCACCCCCAAGCTCGCACAACAATGAACCCCTATGGCCTATTCGTCGCAAAGCTCCTGGTAGTATAACTTCGAGCAAAAGCAACGACGAACCCTCTACATCTCTCATATCCCAAACCCAAACCCCCAAAGCAGAACTTTCAAAAGCAGAAGCCCGCAAGAAAAAATGGTCCAAGATCCTCAAGTTCATCGGCCGAACAATCGCAACGGCAATGAAAGGCCACATCGCATTCGACCGCGCCATGAGAATCACTGAATCCGCAAGCACGAAAACCCTAGTTGGCCTGTTAAGCCGACGAGGCTGGATCACGGCACCACCTCTTGGGCCTCTCAAATTCGAGGCAAAGTTTGAGCGCAAGCGAGGTACAGTTGTCATCGACTCGTCGCAGGAGCAGCCCGTCCTCTATTTTACGACTTGTCAATCTGCTAAACTGGATGATTTGCGACTGGAGAACCAGAAGAAAGGTGCCATATTGTTTCAGATTCCTATCCCTGAGATCAAGGAACTGAAGAAAACGGAGGGGCTGGGTTGGAAGGGGAAGCTGATTGTTGAGTTGACGGCCGGGACCAAGGATTCTATTGATGGGTTGGTGATTTCGAGGATGGAGCCCCAATATCAATCTTATCATCTTACTGGTATGCGGGGAAGGAATCAGTTGTTTAATCGACTGATTGCTATGGATGCGCAGTTTTGGGAGAGTCATTGAGTTGGGTGTTTTCTTTTATATATCTATGTATATATATTTCTGGTGATTGGATTCTGTTTAGTTGATTTGAATAGTTCCGCGACAGACTTGGTTTCTATATAGCTATCGAGTGAGGAATATAAAGTCTTAACAATATATAAACGCTCGAATGTGGCCCTCCCATTAGTAGGAAGCTTTGGAGAGCTATACCATGGCAGTGGCTTTGATGGGCTATTGGGCTTATTAGTACTCACATGTTTTCAGTGAGTGCTGCTCTCAATATTTGGACTGTATCTACTCGAAGACTACTATTGTTGATTGATCCCTATTGTAAGCTACGATTTTGTCAAAGTATCTGTTCCTGTTTGCCTTTTTTTTGCGCCTGTAGATGCTTTATCGAAGGAGAGCTGAATTTCAGTGTAGAATGGATTGAAGATATTGTTTCATGATTTTATGTATACATACCGTGCGCTCAAAAGACACAAATTTCGTAATTGCGTACATTCATAAATAAAATGCGCTGATGGAGAGAAAGTAATACTAACTGGGAACGAGGAGTCCTGGTAGTACAAAAGCCAGAGTGGTCTTTATCTTGAAAACATCATCAACCGTGGAGTCTGCCAAAGGCACATAACGCCAAACTGCATGCTGAGGCTAACGGCAACAAGGTGTATTATGAGAAACATTGTTTGCATGCCGATGCTTTTAGTCCGTAGATTTAATGCTGCGAGCAGTAGCAAAGGGTAAAACATCCAGGGATTCACTGCGAGAGGGCTGCAGGGCTGGAACGCTGAAACAACCTTGAGAAGGAAAAAGCCCAATTGAATCGTAGGAAGCGGAATCTGCAAATCAGGAAGTGTACTTGATAGGAATGGAAAAAACCTGGTCAGGGACGGCCCGCTCGAAGGTGGAGGAAGTAAATGTTGAAAAGGTTCCTGACTTTCACGCGCTTCAGAGGGCTCATTCTGGACCGGTGGAAGAGATGGAGTGCTGGAGTACCTCCCTCGAATGATCATATCTCTTTCAGCGCCTAGCGACATTCTCCTCTCATCATGAGGGCCCAGGTCGTCGACAAAGGCCATCGGTCCACCCCCATTAGACTCGTAGTGGGAGTCGCGTCGGAGAGCTACCGGACTTCGGGAAAATGGCTTTCTTGGAGATGTAGGGGTTCTGGAGAAAGAAGCGGGTGTTGAGTTTTCAGAAAATTGCATCCTGGAACCGGAATGCCCGTCAGAACTCGAAGAACCAGTCCATCTGGATCGTATGTTCTCATTCACACTAGCCCCAGCCTGGAGACCATTCAGAACATCGTCTGCAGATGGTCGGCGATCAGGATTCACAGATAATAGCCGTTCCAGAAAGGTATAAAGTTGCTCAGGCAATTCAGGTCTCATCCTGCGAGCATAATCAAAACCAGCCCACTGGCTAATCTCTTCCCGGAGTCGATCAAGGTCTTCCCTCTCTTCATGGATAAGGTCAGCATTGCTGTAAGGAAGCTGTGCAAAACACAGAAAGTAGAGAATCATTCCCAAAGAGAAGATGTCCGATTTGAATGTGAAGTTTCCAAACGGTCCTCCGGGGTATTCACGACGCAACACTTCAGGTGCGCAATACGACACAGTCCCGGTCGCCCCGGTAGACAGCCGGATTGAATCCTGAGCTTGAACTTCACCGAAATCGCTGACCAATACGCGTATACCATCACTTGTTTTGTGCAGTAAACAGTTGTTTGGCTTGAGGTCACGGTGAATATAGCCGTTGGCATGGAGATAACGTAGACCGGATGTGATATCTTTGAAAAAAGAATATATTTCCTCAAAGTGGAGTTTGCGAGGCTCGTTGGCGTCAGTACGAGGATCCGGCTCACCCCGGGACCTCCTCCTAAGACGCTCTTTCAATTGCTGGGCTGTTGTAGACGTCTGTACCGATCCACAGATGTAGTTATGCAGGTCACCAGCATTGCAATATTGCTGCAGGATGAAGGCGCAGGGTACGCTTGGTCCAAAGGTGCTGATCTTCGCATCTTCAAGCCATACATGACGGTAGGACACGAGGTTCTGATGTGTGAGATGTTGCAGCAATTGAACTTCTCCCAGGACTTTCTCAAGCCATTCGTGGTCATCTCCTACGGGCACGCGCTTACAAGCGTAGTGCCCTAACGACACGCCGTCTAACACATGTTTCACAAGCAAGACAACGCCTTTCCCACCTTTGCCTAGTATACCCTCCTCAACAAAGAATTTCTTGAAGTAATTGGGTGTGAATGCCGCCGACGATATACCCTGGGATGCGCCGCTTGGTTCACTGGTGGGGCCGTCTGGAAGAGCCGGCTGAACGAGGCGTCGGTGAGGGGACGATGAAGTTGACGAAGTCGCAGAGCTAGGTAGGCTTCTATGAAGCATCCGGAAATAATTGGGGTTGATAAACTCGGGTTGCCCTCCTGGACTTGCATGGTGACCTTCTTGTCCCCCGCCGTTGTTATGCAGCGGACGATGGCAATAGGGACAATCAGTCAAGTCAATGTCGGCATTGCTCTCGGTAGCATTTCGGAGAACCAGTTGCTGAGAGTCACGATCAAAGACCACGACTGAGTCGTTATGGCGTCTGCCACACAATGACCGTTAGAACAATGTTTACCAGTTGGGACCAAGCCACCTTACAGTACGACATCAAGGTTAGAAGATCCGTAGGGTACAATGGACATGCCGTCGTCCGCCATATTTAAAGGAAGACACGTGCATCTCTTGTATTAGGGAAACAAAAGAATATCATTCCCGGAGAGAATTTATTAAAAAAAAAAAAAAAAAGAAGATAAGCAAAAGGTACTTTCCGTGCATGCAAAAGAGCTATGATGAAAGCGAGGCTGGGGTGGCCCCACGTGAGCTACGGCGGTGAAGCACTAGCGCATAAACAATAACCATATTTCAAGTACTACTGCAGAATGTATGCACGTCGCGTACCATTTCATATCATAATTGATTGTTTTCAAAGCTATGTGGGTATCTATAGTGAGTTGTAATGGTGTACATTACCAAAAGAAGCAATTAATGCTTCCAATGCACCCATCGCGGTAAAATTTGGCCCAGGTAGTAGGTTCCAGCCATGTCGTGTAAACGACGACAGGATGGGTTGACACCGACTTTCAGGGTTCTCGACTCGAAAGACCTGCGTCCATGCTCGTCTGGCCTGGTCGGTGGGGTCTAACCCTGCTTAAGAAGCGGCGTAGATTCGGATATGCTCCGACGGGGGTTGCTGAAGAGTGGATCAGCGGCAGCCTGTAGCCTCTGTTTTGGCGGCTTGATTTGGTAAAATAGGAGGAGTCGACAATGGCTCAGTCGTTCTCCTCTCCACTCTCCTCATCACTGACTTCAAGGTTTGCGATCGAGTCATTGTCATCATCATCACTATCACCGAAGCCCTCAAACTCTCCATCAGATGTAGAACCAGACTTCGCTTCACTCTTCTCTGCTTCTTCCGAAACTGTGTCAAGCTTCCGCTTCCGACCCATTTCACCGAGTCGGCCTTCACGGCCGTTAACCTTTTCGCCCTCCTCACCGGGTGTGTGAGGTGGTGGAGTAAACCATGGGATCTTGCCTCTGAGGAAATCGTTGATCACCATCTTGGCGACACCATCAAGATCGGGCTCTCCTCCACGGAGTAGCCTTCCACCCTTACGTGCAAGAACAGCCAAGAACTCCAGAGGATCATCAGAACCCCTCACGCCGTAAGTACGTTCAAGGTGTTTGGGCTGAACCCTTTTGAGAACAGCAGGGATATACTGTTCAGGGTTCTCTACATTCTCGACACGACAAACCCCACGAAGCAGAATATCTTCGGGTGTGTCATTTTGGTTGGGTGGGACCACACCAGGACAGTCAATGAGGTAGATCCTTTTCATCAGAGTAATATACTGCCAGACCTTTGTCTCACCGGGAATGGGGGCCACGTTGCACACCTTCTTTTTGCGTAAGGTGTTGATAATGGAGGATTTACCCGTGTTCGGATAGCCGATGAAGCCCACAGAGATCTGCTTTCGTTCCGAGTGAAGAGCGGAAAACTGTCTCAAGAGTTGGATCAAAGACCCTTTACCGAATGAGTTGTTAATCGAGGCATGGAAAGCCAGCGTCGGATGATCTTTAGACAAGTGTCGCACCCAGGCCGCCTGGTGTTTTCGTTAGCATTCGAACACCAGTAAACAAGAGACTTAAAAAGAAGCAAAAATGGCTTAACAATAGAATGTGTGTAACGTTACTAAGAGACCTGCTACGAAACAGCCGGATGGCTGAAGCAGGACTCAACTCAAAAACGGAGCACAGCTCGGCCCTTACGACAGGCTTTCAAAACGAAAACTCATCAGCCTAGCTTCAGAAAGAAGGTCGGCGCGGGCCAGCGTCAATCTACCAAAGCTGTAACAGACAGACTCCCATTGAGAATGGCACGACACGTAGTCGCTGGAAGAAGCCTTGACTTAGCAATGGCACAGGCATCATGGCCTGATTGGTGGTAAAGGTATGTGAAATGAACAAGACATAGAACAGGTAAAAAAGAAAAAGTAGGAGGGGAAAGCGTGGAACTTACTGCTACGCCTGTTGGGACAAGGTCACACTTATTGAGCACGAATATCAAGTGCTTGTGAGGTGCCTCTTCACGGATGTACTTTTCAATACTCCTACACCGTGTGCCTTCAGGGTCACGGGCATCAATGACGTGGATGACAACGTCCGAGGAATCAATGACTTTGTAAAGCTCGTTCCAGATTCGCTTACTCTGACCCTTTGAGAAGACCGATTCAACTGCGGTGGCCGTCGTAGTATGCGCATCGTCTTGCGCAGCAGACACATCTCCAGAGACGGCGAGCGATCCATCGGCATGAGTCTGATGATCCGACTTCTCAACGTAGGCATCATGCATCTTGACCGTCTCGCCAGCCAAGTCTTCCAGTGATGCAACACCCAGTTTAACACGTTTCCTCTGAGCCTTGGGCCCAAACGTATCGCTATATGGGGAGGTCTCAATGGCCATCTTCGCTTGATGCTGTTTCAGCCCATTCACACCTTGACCGTCTCTGATCAGGCTCATGGGAAGCTTGTTGGTCTTGAGGAGAACTTGGTAGGGGTCCGAAGCCCGTTCAGCAACCGCCTCACGGAACGAGGACAGCGCCTCTTGGGAGATCACTCTTGTGTTTCCAAACCATTTACGGTTGGGTTCTATCCTGGCAACGGGGGCCTCTCTAGACTGATACGAAGCAGCCACGGTGATATTACCTTCAGCGTCACGCCGAGGTTTACCATCCTTGTACATATTCAGCCTCTTCACCTTCTTCGCATCTCTTCATGAAGTCAGCCAACGAACAAATCACCAGGTCCTGGTGGGATAACTAACCTGTAAAAATTTTCACCCTTGACCCTAACATTACCCATACCATCTCCAACCTTCCCCTGCCGCTCCCGGCGAGTAGCCTCTTTCTTTCCTGTACCCATGACGAATTCTAGTCCCTGAGCTGGGATTTATATAGAAATAAATCTCAAGGCAGGGGTAGAGAAATAAGTTTGGCAGAGCGCAGGAAGAAGAAGAGGAGAAGGAAAAAAAAGTTCATAGTCCGGAAGAAATTATTTTTTTTGGGGCGGGAGCCAAGCTAAAGGGTGCACAGACCATTTGCGAGAAAATCGCTTCGATCTTTTTCCGGCCCTCGCAACAGAACCGCGTCTGTCATCGTCCGGTTTGGGTCCCCGAATTGCGGATGGAGAGTTGATTTATCTGGTTTAAATTTGTCTAAACGTTTTCATATCTGTCGCCCTTTTTATATTCGATTACTATCACTTGTCTTGGTGGAGTAAACCGGAGTGTTTACCATGTCTCTCTTCCGCAGTTGCAGGACTGCCTCTGTGCAAGCCCGTGGCTTCACCTCCTCGGCCTCTCTTCGAATCGGACCAGAGTCGCCCAATTTCGTCGACGTCCCTCGTACCATTCAGCCAGACCTTCCTTCAAAGCAACATGTCAAGGGTACCCTGCCTGTTCCTCGCGAAATCTTCCCCGTTCGCCGAGCGGACAAGCCGTCCGAGGAGTATATTGCTGCCGCAACACCCCTTCCTTCTAAAGAAACCAAAGTCGACCCGAACGATCCCCATGCCCAATATATCAACTGGAAGCGCCGAATGGCAGAGATGAGGAGACAAAACCTCAGAGAAGGTCTTCTGGAACTGCACACCCGGAAGCAGCGGACGGATAAGTCGATGATGCAGCGGAGTGTCGAGAAGCAGAAACGGCGAGAGCGCATTTTCCGGCAGCCAGAGAGAGAGGATGAGCGATTGACCCGTCCTTCGGTCATCCAGGAGATGCTCCCTAAGCGCACCCCGGTGCTGCCAGACCCCAACCGGGAAGAGCGTCTCACTATCTCCAAAGCTCGATTGGAGGCTACGAACGCCCAGAAACAAGCGGAGCAGCAGGACTCTCTGCAAGCGCTGTACATGAATGCTCGGAACTTTATCACTACCGAAGCTCAGCTCGCAGCTGAGATCGACCGCGTCTTCCCTGAGGGTGAGAACGAAGCTTGGCGCAATGACCACCAGCAGGGCGAGAACGTCTGGAACTTGGGTCTACCCCCAACCGTCCAGTCTATCGTCAACGAGTCCAGGAAGAGTGAGGCAGCTCGCTGGGATCTTATCCAGGGTAGAGTCAAGAAGTTGGGTGAGCAGATCACAGGGGGCAAGTTGTGAATATCATGAGTTGCGCTTAGAACATTGTATATTACTCCAAATTATTGAGCTGATCCTCTTTCTTTTTTGTACACCTAGTCTTAGTCGACATTGGCAGCAATATTTTTGTTTTCTATAACAGATGAAGAACGCGTAGATAATTCAAAGGCATTGTCCCATCTGCATCGGGATTTTAAATCAGCTCTTACCACATTTTTTGGAAATGCGTTTTGAGAGCACAAATCTCCTTACAAGCAGCTGCGCATGCTATAATCATTTTAGAAGCTCAAAAAAATAGGAAGATACGTCTAGAAGGATATCGCACGGTGCTTGTTTACATTATGGGCTGATGAAGCGGCTAGAACGCGAGTGTATTGCGAGCATTCTCCTTTGACCTGTTACGAATTCTTTTGGTTTGAGGGCCTGACAGGCAAGGAAAGGATACAAGCAGCAAGATAAATATTGTTAAGGGTGGCCATATGCTAAACCAGTATAGAAAAAAGAAATGCCCTTCTTCCAATATATAGAGAACGCCATCGCTATGCACCTAACCCAATGCGCCATAGATGCCTCAACATCAAAACAAAGTATGAATCTATACCAAAATTCTAGGCAAACTAAGCGCTGCCCGCGGGACCGGTCGAAGCCGCAGCAATTGCAGCACCCTCTGTTGCAACAGTATTCGTATTCGCCGCTTCCCGTTCAGATACCTCTTCATCGATGAAGCACCCCAAACCTGCGAATGCCTCGAGCAAGGTGCGCGAATAGTACTCTCGAAGGTCATACCCACCAGCCTGCATACGAGTATCTTGTCTAATAGGGTCAAGATAACTGGACGGGTAGAAGTCTCGCAAGGTGTAATAGTCTCGTTTGTCCGGGACCATTCCACCGAATGGATCGTAAGGCTTCTCGGGTTCAGGTGTCTTAATTCTCTTGAGACCCTTGATAAGACCAGTATCACCGGCATCGCCAGCCTTATCGGCTGCTGTAATTCCAGCCTGTCCAGCCTTTCTAGCATCTGAGTTACGTAGGGCAGCTTGCTTTTGTCGAATACGGTCCTCCTCGCTACGTCGAGCAGACGACTTCTTGAGTAGAACTTTCTGGCCTTCGCGTGCGATTGTGGCAGCGTCTCCTGGGCGTCCAGCAGCAAGACGACTGAGAACGTCTTCCCGTCCAGCAAGAAGCTCCCGGCGCTCATTCTCGTACTCTTGTCGTACCGCCTCCCTGCGAAGACGAGCCAGCTCCTGCTCTTCAGTCTGTCTTGCTTGGAAAGACGAGGCTTCCTGGGCCTCCAAGGCTTGATTGGCGCGGATAGAGCGCATATTCTCTTGTGCATATTTTTGGAGATCAGCTTCGGTCTTGGCTACGTCAGTGCCGTGGACAAGGTTGGCAATGATCTCCTCGCGTTGTTCGAGAAAATCATCCCAGGCTCGCTTCGAGTCGAATTCCTCTTCGCGACGGTTGAGGCTGTGACCGTTAGATATTTCGCTTTCCTCAAATTCCCTGAGTGGTATATATAAACATACATCTGCATGACTCTGCGCCGTATATCGACCTCCCGTTCTACGTTTATATCTTCGAATGTCTGTTTTCGAAATCGATTCTTTCGTAACGTCTTGTGGCATCCGGCTACAGGACAATTCGCGGGACCCGAAGAGAAAATACGATCCACGCATGATTCACACATCTTGTGATAACATTCTGGATTGATGAGGAATTGCATGTCCGGGTTCAAGTACCGCGAGGATTTGCAGACGGGGCAGACCTCTGAAAAGATATTAGTGGAGGAGTCTCTTGGGAATAGATAGTCTTAAGCATACCGTCCTCATCCCCACGGTTTTGCATCGACTCGCGAGAGGGCGGCATATTGCTGGATGATGCTGAAAGACAAGAGAGATGACTGATGTCGAGACCTTAAGGTGTTTGGTTCCAATGTACCTAAGCCCAGCAGCTCACACGGACCAATCAAAAGCTCCGGTGACCGTTCCGCTCCGCGGAATTTTCTTTGCCCCCGCGGCGATTCCCTCCCCTTCTGCGCTGGACTTTTCCTCTCTTTGCCCCTTTGCTTGGTGCTGGTACCTGCAAACTGTTCTATCATCATCCCCGGCTGAGTGCCTACTCAAGATGGGTGTCCCCGGTAGCAATCTACAGGACCTTGAGCGTCAACGCCTCGAGCTCGAGGGCAACATCTTGAAACTACAAGAATCTCTTTATCATTGGAGAACCTGGGAGGCCGAGTACGATGGCTTGAAAGACGAAATCAGCGAACTCGATGACGATGCCACGATGGATGATTTTCTTCGGATAGGTCGCGACTTTGGCGGGTCGCTGGTCACCGAAGATGAAGTCAAGGTGATACTTGGGGTGAAAGAAGGTGTGACCAGAACCAAACAACAGGTCATCGATCTTGTGGTGAGGCGAGTCGACTACGTGAAACAGAATGTCACGACTATGGAAAAGCGGCTACGTTCGGTAGAGAATCAACTACACGCATTTGATTCCGCTGAGCAATTACCAGCCGAACCCACCTCGGACTTTCCCATGACGGAAATTGTTGAAGAACTCGATGAGGATGGAAACGTGATTTCGAGCTCCACTGCGACACCCGGAGACCAGGCGCCAGAGCTCTTGGAGCTTCTCAAGAAGGCAGGCGTGAAAGATGTCCCCGATGCCCCGAACGCAAATGGGCAGTCCGAGTACAAAGCGGAGGATGAGCCCAGTTCAGCGGACAAACAAGAGCGTGGAGATACCCCGGATAAGCCCAACTTGCGGGAGACGAATGGAAACGCCGTAGCTTATTCTAAAGAGAAGCCGGCGGCGTCCGACTCGGCGACTGAAAAGCAGGAGGAGCTGCCTGTTACGGATATCGATGAATCTCCTGAGGATGCCAAGTTACGCCGTGAGATGCTGCAGTACGGGCTTAATGAAGTTGGAGCTGTTGTCGCTGAGCTTGAGCTAGACGAAGATGCAAGTGACATATCCATAGACGATGACTACGACGCTTTCGCGTATGACGATGAAGATGATGAGGAGGAAGATGAGTATGGACGGAGTACTCGGACTGTTCTGAGCGAGGATTATCATCAACAGATGCGTGAGCTAGAAGCCAAGTTGAATGCTCGAGGAATGTGGAATATGGGCAAAGACACAGGCTCGCTGCCTGCTGAGGTCCAGAAAGAGCTTGAGCAGCCAGGTGTGGTCCGGGTTGAGAAGAGCACCGAGATTGCGAACGAACCTGTTCCAGAGAAGAAGCCGAAAAAGAAGGTTGCTTTCGCCGAGGATCTTGATATTGCTCCGGCCCCTAAGCCCCCAATTGCGGAGAAGAAGTCTGTCGCGCCTCGGCAATCGGATGTGCCTGTCCTTTCAGATGCAGTTGTCGAGCGTACAGAATCAGCTGCGAAAGGCCCAGTCACGAATGATGCTTCCAAGAAGACCTCTCGCTTCAAGAGTGCTCGAAGTACTGGCGGCAGTGAGAACAGTATTCGTCCTTCCGAGGCACGCTCTTCACTCCGCAAACCCATCACGCCACCATCTCCTGCATTGCCTTTGTTCCCTACCAAACCATCTGAACCCAAACCCTTCTCCCAACCAATCTCAGATATCATGGAGAAGCCCCCTGCTCCCCGAGGACCTGAGGGGAAGATTTTAGCAGACACACTCGTCGAGCACGAGGTTTCTCAAGGTGCCGCCATGCCACCCGAGCCAGATGAAATCGATGAGCAGATACACAGGAAGGAGATTGCAAGCGAATTCTATCGGATAAGAAACAGGATGATCCAGCAAAATGGCGGCTTCGTGGGTGAGGAGCCGGAAACGGTGCCTATCGAAGCCGAAGACCCTCCGAAGAGGGTGAGCAGATTTCGAGCTGCTCGGATGACTTAGTTATGAAAACAATAGAACAGATACCCTTATTCACCTGATTTTAACCGATCCTTATCTACGGTTCACGGTCTGTAGCAACGGAATTTTGCTCTGCCATATGCCCTTTTCAAAGGGTACCTGGTCAGATGGGCATACCCTCCTTCATTGGTATACCCGTTCAACTGAATTCCAATATAGAATGAGGGCTCTCTGACTCCTCTTCTTTTCATATCATTACTGGAGGTATTGGGCTCAATCGAGTACTTACAAACAGTGGTGGTGTGAAACAAATGAAGTGTGGTTTTCGTTTCACCCTCAACATCACTGTAATTTCCATCATTAACATAGAGAATATTATTTAGTTGTGCATGAGATCATTAAAGGGTGAATAATATACTAAAAGACCCGCGTGGTAAACGGACAGTACATAGTAGCTGCTCGAAAATTTCTTATTTTAGGTTTATTTTCGTTTCACTTTTTACTCCTTCTGCCTCCCATGTCTCATTGGTGGTAGATATTTTACCAAATATGTATCCATATATTAAAACAGAATTTGTTTAGTGATGTAAGACTCATAGACAAGGAATTGGGCTCAGAAACATATATTATATACTTCCCGCAAAAAGTTTCTTACTGCGAAATGACCAACGGAGTGAGTAATCATGAAATCGAGTAAGAGACCCTTGTTATCGAGCCAACTACCCAACAGATCCTTTGAATAAAAATCATCCTATAAAGCAACCTAGGAACAAGGCATTTTATTAGAATAAAGGAATAGTGGTACGGGTAGTCGCACGGCTTGCCATGCCGGGAAGTGTTTACAACTCGTCTTTAGGCCTCTACACCCACTGAAGTACGAAATTTATATAGAGAGTCACGGTGATTTTTTATTTCTTCCCTCCCCTTCTTTCCCTCCTAATCTCTTCACCTTTGAGACACAGGGAACTCCCCTCACAGAATGTACGATGGACATATACTACTACTACTCAGTAGGTTAATGTTTTAGGAAACTAACATGCAAGGTTTATGCTATCATGCATATGACACTCGATTACTGGCAAATTTTGCCTATTAAGTTCTCGTTTGATGAGTCAGGAACATATTACGAGGTTAGGCACTGTGTTCTCTCCCAAATTGTCCATATGGAGCGCCTGACAGCGTACCACTCCAAGGCAACGGAGTTGAGTTTGGAGCAGTAGCCCTAAACGACCCTGATTACGCACGCGTATGCAAGACCTCTGCCCCGGGCTCGCACAGCCGCAAAGAAAGAAAAGGCCCCGGCGTAGAGAGGTCTCGATGATTGACCGGCATTCGCTGCCTCAAAATGCAAGAGCCACACGCCATGCCGCTTCTACTGGGGCCATTATCTTGGCTGTCAAGGTGACGGAAAGTTTACTTCCCTTGAGATGCTTGTCTGGACTGGAGAGTAGTTTAATGCACGCCACTATCGATAACAGCGGGGACACTAGTGCAATTCTTTGAATCTAACGGACAGAGGCCTAGGTAGCCAATCGTATTATAATCTTTTTCGATAGGTGTTTCAGATGTGTTGGGTAAACAATGGGGTCCTAGGCCGTGTATCCCTTGAGGGACCGACAATTCTTCGTATCCTTCTAGAGAAATATGAGGAACGCCTGGACGCTTGCGTTGACAGAGTACCATGAAAATAGAATGGGGCTGTTACCAAGAGGCATGGGTTTTATGTGGAGTAAATCCGAACCAAGGTCGCCCAAACATCGGGGAAAAGCCTGCAGAGACTTCTGTACTACAAAGCACACACAACGAGATCCATACATGTCAATGCAAGGGATACTACCGGTTTAGGCTAACTTCCAGCCGTGTTTCTATATATATACACATATACATAGGGATGGTGATAGTTGTCTGAGGCAATGATTGCACAATGCCCAAGACTACGTAGAACTAGAGAGGTTGCCTAGCAAGAATGCTATTCAAGGGAAATCAACAATGAAGAAGGCTGTTGTTCGACATTACGTGGCGAGCCTGATCGACGTTGAGACCTTCCCCATCGAAAGAGGGTTGACCGTCAACATGATGACTTGGGTGGTGGATCTCTATTGACAAAAGAGGAATAGTCATAAGCAGAAGTTTTGCCATTCGTTGAATGTGACGCCACTCCCCACTTTGTTCTATCCGGGGAAATTGTGTCCCTTCTATCGCTCCTCAAACTTGATACCCTTCGTTTAATCCACCATGAAAAGACTTGTATGGAGTTAGGGTCCATGCCTTTCGCTACGGCTGATGGACCGAGTTAACCATAACGACAGAGACCCCTCACACGTCACAGTGCTCCGTATGTGGTGGTGCAAGAACCCATTATGATGCAAGGCCTTTAAGGACACTGGGAATATTACAATCCCCCCACCACTTCGTCTCTACTACATCGTAGGAGCGTCATAGGTTCGGTACGTCTTTGATCGGAATGTCCATTCCGTCTATAATGCCTTAAGTCTATTGTATGGTTGTTTATCAATAGAATCGGCGATCCATGGTGGCCTTGACACTCTTGAGCCTATGTTTGGTCGAGAAATGAAAGCTGTACCGTGGATGGTGCACTGTTGCCACTTGGGTTACTATGAGTGCCTTTTTCGAACCGTGTAATCGGGGTCATTGATCAGGGCATGGCGTCCGATGGGGTCGGATCCACCGCGGGTCCATTGCCCTACACTGCTTTTGGCCACTGATATGACTTGGATCTCAGAGCCAACTCTCAATTTGTTTCCTCTATGGGATTGCTTCTCCACGGTGATTTTTTTTTTGTATGACGTCGTCATCTTTTTCATCTTTTCCTTGCAATCCCGAAGCTTCCAGGCCTGACCGGCTTTGCCGGACAGTTGTCAGCTTGTTCACCCAGTCCATTGCGCCTCCACCACATCTATCCATGGTCCACTACTTCTGCATTATGCGTTGTGACTGGCCATATCTGTTTCTATTTATTCAATCTACATGGATGTGGAGCTGTTAGATTCGATTCACTTACCTCGTCTGGTATACCGGACCTTATATGACGTTTCTTCTTCCCATCTGTCATTATAAATATTGCTTGTCCTGCTCATTGTTTATGTTTCTCAATTCAATCTCAATTATCTCAAACGGTCTTTACTCAAAGACTTGACTGCTCCATTCGTTTCCACCAAGTGGCTTCATTCGCTAACCTTAATATGAAGAACTTCGCTACCGTCGCGGCTCTTGCTGCTGGTGCCAATGCCTTCGTTGGCAGGAGCAACAATTGCTGTTTCCATCTAACTGCATCCGGTGGCGAGTCTGGAACTGTTGGTCAGCTTGATGATGGACAGAACCGCATCCACGGTGGATTGCAAGAAGCTCAGTTTTGCATCGACTCCAAGGGTGCTCTCACGGATGGAAACGGTCGTGGATGCATTATTACTGGTACGGAAGTATTTCGCAAGCTTTGACAATACTCTCGGTTAACTAATAAGTCCTGTAGGTCCAACTACACAGTTCCAGTGTGATGAGGGGGCCACACCTATGACCGGTTGGTCTATCAACTCGCAGGGTCAGGTCTCGTACAATGGTGATGCGGATTTTGTTGCATGTGCGACTGGCCAGAACGGCGGGTTGAATATCTATACTACGGAGAGCTCTGATGTGACTGAATGCAAGGATATCAAATTGTCTGCCGACTCGTGCTCTAGCTCTGCTTCTGGCTCTAGCTCTGTCGCAGTCCCTAGCTCCAGTACTCCAGTCCCTGGCCCGACCTCTAGTGCCTCTGTTCCCTACGTCCCCGGTCCCTCCTCTAGTGCCTCTGTACCTTATGTTCCTGGGTCGAGTGGATCTGTTGTCACTCTCCAAACGACTGTGACCTCGACCTACTGCCCCGAGTCATCGACTGTGCCTGTTGTTCCTGTACCAAGTGTTCCTGGCACTCCTGGAACCCCTGGCGTCCCTGGAACTTCTGCTACTCCCGGTGTCCCTGGCACATCTAGTGTTCCAGTTATTCCCGGCACATCTGGCACCCCTGGCACCCCTGGAGCTTCGAGTGGCCAGCCTTCTCAGACCGCTACTAGCGTCCAGCCGTCTGGTACTTCAACTGCAGGTGGAAGCTGCCCCACAGATCTCTCTGGTGAATATGAATACCCTCATTTGATCATTCCTATCGACTCTTCCTCACCTGATACGGCCGCTGGCACGTCTTACAACGGCACCATCTCGTCCACCGTCTCGACCATCTTCAACTTCGATATCCCCTCCTCTGACGCTGGAAAGACGTGTAGCCTTGTCTTCCTCTTTCCCAAGAAGGAGGATCTTGAGACTTCATCTTACTCCTTCAGCGGCGACGGCAAGGTTGACTTCGCTTCCCTCCAGTCCGCTGCTACCCAGTCTACCACCTACAACAATGCCCCGGCAATCAAGGAAGACTATGGTGACCTCACTATCTCCCCTGGCAACTCCTACCTCATCTCAACTTTTGAATGCCCGGCTGGTCAGGCCGTCAGCTACGAAATGAAGAACTCCGGTAGCACCGAGCTGGATTTCTTCGAAGACTACAACCCATCCCCGTAAGTTTGCCAGTAGCATTGATCCAACAGAGGCAATAGCTAACAAATTCTAGTCTCGGTCTATACATCACCGTCTGCTAGAGTAAGCGGACTAGAGTTATCAGTCTGACATAATGCGAACATGATTCACGGACTCAATGTGTTTTAATCATTAAAAAATGTTCATATTTCAACAAGATTGTTTCTTTTCCGAAGTCAGGCTGGACAAATATTCTAATGCGGTATTCAAATGTGGCATTCGAATGGATAAAACTTTTCTTCGTTTTTTTGAGTAATTCTTGAAGTGTATATTACAATGCTCAAGGGTTAATTTATTCGAGTATAATTTACTTCTTACATTCTATCTTATGATTTTTCTTGTAAAAAAAAAAAGGACAGTAGAAAGAACCACAGCGTCGCGAGTAAGAACTGTTTCGGCGAGGTTAACAGTAAAGCCAACAAAAGTAGAGGCATGTTGTCAATATTGGAGCGTGCTTTTAATATTGAGGGGAACAGAAAAAAACAAGCTGCAGATCTGCTGACGACTGGTGAAGCCTCCTGAGTGGGTTATGATGGGGATCAACGGATGAGCCTTAGCGATCAGCAACATGGTAAGGTACTGGACCAATACATGACACTGCAAATATGGCTGCCTGTATGGGACATAGAGCGTATCCACACTAATATTTCTTGCTACTCCGTAAGAAAAGAAAACCATGGTGATTGTCACGTACGGAGTACGTACATACCGCTCAGAGTCTGGAGTCTGGAAATCAGTGGGGCCAAGAAGTCTGGGCACATCTTGAAAAGAGGAGGGCTCAGCCGTCCAAGCCACTTCACTCGCCTGTTGCCTTAGGCGGCACCCAATTGAGGTAAATGCGCGACCAAATATGATCCTTCTATCTTCTTCCTTGTATCCAGATTTTCTTTTTCTTTTTCTTTTTCTTTTTCTTTGTCTTTCTCTTTGAATTTCTTTTTCGTTTTTGCTTACATGAACTCTCACCTCATTTTTGGGGCCTACATTCCTTCATTGATTATCACCGCGCAGGATCACGGTTACCTGGAATCATCCGTCTTGTGTGCAGCGCTAAAGCTGTTTAACAACTCAGGTGTGTTTACCGCAGCTATAATGAGTCGCGGCCCTTGCTGTCCCAAGGAGCTGACGAGAAACCTGATTCTTAGAGGTCCTCTACGGAGATTTTATGATTATATCTGATCCCAACGAATTACCACCAAAATGACCCACCTTCCCTCCAAACTGCCCTTCTCCAAGCGGCGGTTAAGGCCGCGCATTGTTATTTCGTGGGTCTCGGTCTAATTCTGATCCAAAGCACGTTAGGCACATGTTACTAACCATAATTCGGCGTTTGCAGATACATCCTTGACTATGTGATTCTTGTGTTCGTGCACCCTAGACCGGCTGATATACACCTTTTCTCCGAGACCATGCTAACGAGATAATGCCACAACTGCAGCGCATGTATCGCCGGCTTTTACATCATCGACTCTATTGAGCCATATCATCAGCATTTCTCCTTGAATAATATTTCCCTTATGTACCCTTACGCTGTCCATGAGCGCGTGTCCATCCCACTCGCCCTGTGTATCTCTGGCGTGGCCCCTCTGATTATCATTGCGGTTTATACACTCTTGATCGATGGATTGTTTTCTCACAACAAACCTGTGGACCCGACTTCTGGAAAGAGGAAGCTGACGGGACCATACCGGTTCAAAGACCGGCTGTGGGAGTTCAACTGCGGTTTCCTTGGCCTTCTACTGTCCCAAGGCCTTGCGTTTCTCATTACCCAGGTTCTCAAAAATGCTTGCGGCAAACCCAGACCAGATATCATTGATCGATGCCAGCCCCGACCAGGAAGTGAGGATCCATTTCGTGGCTTGTCGAATTACACAATCTGCACGGGTGATCCGGCGATTATCAAGGATGGCTTTCGTTCTTGGCCTTCAGGTATGACCCAATATTTTCAAATATGGCTCTTTTATCCCGAATGCTAATTCTTTTTGTAGGGCACAGCAGCTGTGAGGAACCCTCTTTGTCTAGAGGTGATCTTTTACTGACATCGTTTTAGCTTCCTTTGCCGGATTGTTTTATCTGACCCTGTGGCTTTGCGGGAAGCTGCATTTCATGGACAACCGCGGTGAGGTCTGGAAGGCGATTATAATCATTATTCCTTGTATTGGTGCCACTCTTATCGCAGTGAGTCGGATTATGGACGCAAGGCACCATCCATTTGATGTGATCACCGGCTCGCTTCTGGGCGTTGTCTGTGCCTATATCGCGTACCGCCAGTACTTCCCCTCAATCACAGAGCCGTGGAAAAAGGGGCGAGCTTATCCGATTCGGTCTTGGGGTAGAGATCCGGTCGCCCCAAGCGACACTGCCCCTCTTGTGGCCACTAACGAAAGCACTGTCGCGCTGCGGAATCCCGAGGAGGAGAGGCTCAATGCGTCCGGCGTTCCTGACTCTCAAGACCCCACTCAATTACGCGCCTCAACGTATATGCCTCCAGCTAACAACCCATACGCCACGAATATGTATAGCCGCGATGATGACGGACATTGGTCGTCTTCAAGTGAGGATGTTGCAAATGGATATGAAATGCAACATGGTTACGCTCGGACGCAAAATCCGACATACGGCGGACAGCTTCCTCGTTACGAGACTGATACGTCGTATCACTCCCAGATACAACCTCAAGTTACAGGTGTCAGCGCGTCCCATCCACCACCGATGACGACCGTTCGCTCTGACGGCGAACGGGAATTAACGGACGTGCCACCGCGAGCATTTTAAGCTGAAGCTTAGGTTTAAGAGACATTCTGGCTTACAGCCAGTGCCACGAACATCATGATTTTCTTTTGGATAAGACGAGGGGAATCTAGGATAGTTTACGAAATTTCATAATTGTCTAGGGTTGGGTTATGGACATAGTTGGCTGGTATATATCTTCAGGAGAAGATATTCCGATTTCTAGACATCGCACCTGATTTGCATTGTCACCCTCTGTGATACCGCATGAACATGTATGAATAATGGCGTTTGGAATGAGAAATACTTTTTTCCGTGTCACTTGTCTACTTAGTAGTTTTAAGATGCGATAAAAATAGGGTGATGGATAGATAAGCTAGGGATCATCAACCGTGGCTCTAGACCCTTGTGGCCGCCCCACGTCCCAAACAAACAATGGCGTCAGGGAACAACTGCTTGCTTGCAGATGCACCACGAGGACGATTGACCAGGGGTGGTGTCGTTCTTATTGATCAGAATCTGTATGAGGTCGCACTAACTGTTTCAGAGACATGTTTTCTAGGGTACTAATCTATCATTTGGTCGTTTGCTGGGCGCAATGTTCCCGTTTCCCAGCCACCCCGCAGTCGCATTTTACCAGCCACCTTCATTCGACCATGACCGCAACTTGCATATTTTTCTCCTTATTTTCCTTCCATTAAGCCCCCTTTCCTCTGAGCCCTGCATAACTGCTTTGCATAGAATCTTACTTTGTCTCTCCTCGTGCGGTTGAGTTGGCGAGTTAAAAAAACCACACGGTCCATCTCCCGGTCAACGCCAGGTCCGATTTCAATCTGGCGACGGCCCTATTATACGAGAACCTATTTATCACATCTGGGATGACGCTATAGCTACCGTACTCAACTGCGACCATTCAACCGTATTATAAAATCGGTATCGAGTAACTCTACTCACATCTCTGAATCAGCTGGCACCGACGATCGTCGTGTGGAAAGGCTATCAAGATGATCGGCAGTTTTTTCTTCATTTGCAATCGCCTGGTGGAGATTATTTTCCTGATACCAATCATTGGAATGTTGGTAAGGCTGACATACCAGTCACATCCCCCTCCCCCTCCTCAAGCTGTCTGTTGGCACTGGCATGAGTCTAGATTCTAACATCAATATAGGCTTACTTTATCGACGGATATCTCAAGGCCAATGTAATCACCCCGACCTACATCCTCGTGCTTTTCATCGTCAGCACTATCGCAGTCTTCTGGTGCTTTGACACATTAATCCGTCACGCGACCACCAAGCGCTCAGCCGCCTTTGTCGCTTTCGTCGACCTCCTCTTCTTCGGCGCTTTCATTGCAGGGGTCTACCAACTGCGCTTCATCGCAAATGCCAACTGCTCCCATTGGGATGGGGGCTCTGTGTGGGTCTCCCTTGGCCCCTTTGGAGCCTATGGCTACCGCACGGGCAACCCGCTGGCCCTGCAAGTCAACAAACATTGTGCGATGTTGAAGACCTGCTTTGCGCTGGGCATCATGGAGATTGTGTTCTTCTTCTGGACCGCCTTTTGGGCGCTTTTTCTGCACAGTCGGTCCGATGTGGTTGTTAAGGAGACAACGACAATTCGAAGGAGAAGTCACAGTAGTCGGCGTGGACATGGACATCGTCGGAGCTCCAGTCATCGCCGGCCGCAATATGTGGTCTAATCATATTTCCTCCATTTCGCATATTTTTCCGTATTACTTTCCTCGAATTGTTTATGATTTACGGATACGACTTGGATGACATAGATAATGGGAGGCCAAAAGCGCTAAAAAAAAAAAAAAAGAAAAAAGAAAAGAAAAAAGAAAAGAAAAATGGAATAAAGGGAAAAGGAAATGACGCCCCCGCCGGGAAAGAGACGAAGATTGGTAACGAAACTACGCGATGTGATAGTGATGTGATGATATTATGATACTATTTGAAAGACGACCCGGTTTCTGTTTATTGAACTTTGGACTCCATTCCATAGCTGCGATCGCCTGTGTCCGGTGCTCTTTGATGATCCTGTGATGCTATGTGTATGTTGTTCTCGGAGCCAGACCTTTCACAGGCTCCACCAGATTCGGCATAATTTTGCACAGCTTTGTTTTCCTTGTGATATTATGACACATGATTTTCATCTAATTGAACTTTCTATGATGATTTGGAGCATGCTTTCACCTAAGCACTAGGCCGTCAGCAAGACGACTAGGTATCCGAGATATATATCCATTGGTCCGGACTGGCATTTGCAGGTCACACATGTGGATTACCGGGAAGATCCCTACATTAGTTCGTGAGCCAGGTAGAATATAGTTCATTTAGTGACGAACTGCTCAGGCAGCCTCAAGCGGCGACATTGTGATAGCAGGATATAGTTCCTGTTAGCGTGGCGGGTATTCCTCCAATCTAAGTTCCCGGAGACGGTCCCTTCCGATCCCCCCGCGGCTGATAAGGTAACCCCTCCCCCATCAATCATGAACAGTGGGGCAGCTGAATTTCCCATCACATCTCTTTTCTCAATCAATGTGACTGCTAGTTGAAATCCTCATTCGGTCCTGAATCCAGCGTGATGCATTTTCTAGACAGGGTTACATGGCCCTCTATCCGAACACCCCGAATTGTCAGCTCCTCATCGCTTGCGACGAGAGACCAAAATTATGACATGAGGAGTTCCACCTCGGTGACCTCCGATGGCAACTTTCATGCACGTATCAGCACCCCCGACTCCTGCCTATCCCACCGCTAATCCGCGCTATATCACGATCTCTAGACCAAGCTACACATATAGCACCTGGATCACATTGTATCATCAGCGTCTACGGCTGTCACGCCCGATGTTGTCTCCAGAAGTTCGAATGACTATTGGCCAGGTCGAACGTTCTATCCCTCACGAGGTCACCTGTCGCCACTGATCCTTGCTCTGCCGGCACATTTCTTTCCTTAGCCCGGACATTTATAAAGGCCACTGGCTGCTGGCAAGTGACACTGGTACTGCTCAAATATCTTTGACTTTATCTCTGCGTGTACCATGCCAGCCAAAAGCAAAAACGAGAGCCGTGCGGAATACTGTACCGGTTACTCGGAGGACGTGGACGTCATCCGGGAGCGGGAGTATCCATTTCTCAAAGGTAGGCCTTTGGGACCGAACTGTAGAAGCCTAAGACATATCCAGAGTTGTGCTAACATCGTATCAAGATACGACCTACTTAGACCATGCCGGCACAACGTTGTATCCCAAGTCGTTGATCGACTCATTCGCACACGATCTGACTTCGAATCTTTTCGGCAATCCTCATTCTCGATCTGCATCATCCCAGCTGTCTACGCAGCGTGTAGATGATATCCGCCTCAGGGCACTTCGCTTTTTCAATGCGGATCCGGATGAGTTCGATCTCGTATTCGTAGCAAATGCTACCGCTGCTATCAAATTAGTGGCAGATGTGTTCCGAGATGCGTCACCTCAAGGATTCTGGTATGGATACTTTATAGATGCGCATACGAGCTTGGTGGGAGCGCGGGAGCTTGCGGAAAGGGGGCATAGGTGCTTCCTGTCCGGTGGTGAGGTTGAGCAGTGGATATCGGATTTGGCTACCGATCAAACGAACTTTCCCAGGCTGTTTGCATACCCTGGGCAATCGAATTTGAACGGTCGCCGTTCTCCTATGCAGTGGTGTAAGAAGATACGGGAGGGGAGCTCGGGCGCAGGAAATGTCTATACCCTGCTTGATGCTGCATCTCTCGTTTCCACGTCACCCCTTGACCTGAGTGACGCATCTGTTGCGCCGGATTTTACGGCGCTCAGTTTCTACAAGATTTTCGGATTCCCCGATCTCGGTGCCTTGATAGTGCGGAAAAAGGCAGCGGGCATTCTTGAGAAACGCAAGTTCTTCGGCGGCGGGACGGTGGATATGGTCCTGGCCCAAGGAACGCCATGGCATGCAAAGAAATCCACGATCCACGAGCGCTTAGAGGATGGTACTTTGCCGTTCCATAATATTATTGCCCTTGATTCGGCATTATCTACACATAGGCGTCTGTTTGGATCGATGAGCAATGTCTCGTCCCACACGCGCTACCTGGCAAAGCGACTACACAACCGGTTGGCCGCGATGACCCATTTCAATGGGGAGAAAGTCTGCCAGTTGTATATGTCCCCTGAATCAGACTTTGACAGTTTCACTCAAGGGCCGATCATTGCGTTCAACATACGGAATAGCTCTGGTGCGTGGGTTGGAAAGTCTGAAGTTGAGAGGCTCGCGAATGTCAAGAAGATACATATCAGGTCAGGATCACACTGCAACCCGGGAGGAACGGCAACTAGCCTTGGCTGGACTGGGCCTGAATTGCTTCGTAACTTCTCCGCTGGACTGCGCTGTGGTGATGATCACGATGTCATGGATGGGCGGCCGACTGGCATTTTAAGAGTCAGTCTCGGTGCGGTCACTAACCTCAAAGACATTGACACATTCACGAGGTTCATTGACGAGTTTTACATCGAGAAGGCACCGGAATTTGTATCACTGGTGCCGCCGATGGAAGTTGTTTTGCAAGAACCCAGCTTCTACGTGGAGAGCCTTTCAGTGTATCCAATCAAGAGCTGTGGAGCGTTCAAGGTTCCCGACGGTCAACGTTGGGAGCTCAAAAGAGAAGGTCTCGCATGGGATCGAGAATGGTGTCTTATCCATCAGGGTACTGGTGCCGCTCTCAGTATGAAGAAATATCCCCGCATGGCACTGATACGGCCGGTTATTGACCTGGAGCGTGGTGTTTTACGCATTACCTGTGGGTCGGATCCAAAAGAGCTGGAGGTCTCCCTCCGCCGCGAAATCACTAATCTAGTTACCACCTCGCTGTGTCAGAGCGCGAAATCCTCCAGCGTCTGCGGTGATCGAGTGGTTGTCCAGGCATATTCCTCACCTACCGTGTCGTCTTTCTTCTCTAACTTCCTTGGTGTACCGTGTACACTTGCAAGGTTCCCGCCACAGATCTCCACTAGGATTTCAAATCCCACTCGGTCACCTAGAAGGACTCAGAGAGCCCTCATGCCTGGCTCTTTTCCAGAAGATCCATCACCGACGCCTGAACAACCACCAATCCTCCTATCCAATGAGAGCCCAATTCTGCTCATTTCTCGCTCGTCAGTCAATCGCCTGAACGAAAACATCAAGTACGGCCCCAGACCTAGCCATAGCACTCCAGCGAGGGCCGTAGAAGCCGATGTCTTCCGCGCCAACATTGTCGTCGCCGAGAATCTTCACCAGCTAGCTAACGCGGAACGTCCATACACAGAAGACACTTGGGAGTCATTCTCTGTTGGACCGGAACAGTTGCACTTTGATGTGCTCGGATCATGTCAACGGTGTCAGATGGTCTGCGTTGACCCGTATACTGGCAACCGTCGAGAGGAGCCTTATTCAACCCTGGTAAAGACGAGGAAGATCAACAGCAAGATCGTGTTTGGGAGACACGCTTCTCTATCTAAGATGGAGCTTTCACAGGATGCTGGCAATCCTAAATCTTGCACTGTTATGGTAGGGGATGTTGTGACACCGCAGATTTCTTGAACTAGCCGTACGTAAAGAATTAATGCATCACTTTTAAAGCCTTTGCTCTCTCGCCGTAGAATCATCCATCAAGAAGCATTATTTTATTGCATCTATTTATAACATAAATAGCATCATTTATCGAAAGATGGACAGTACATCTACGTCCAATGTGCAGGTTCAATGAATATCTATTTGTACATATATGAGAACTAGAACTCCCGTCCAAAACCCGACAATGATCAATGGAGCCGTGCGATCTGAGGACCGGCAAAAGATATAACATTACATAAAATCTCACAGTAGCGAACAACGTATCCAAAAAAGCCTTTACCTCTTGGGCCATTGCTTCCAGCCACGACCGTGACCTCTCTGCGAGCCAGAACGTTAGCGTTTACGGAATCTTTTCCCAGTCGGACCTGAAAACTTACCTGCTTCCACAACCGAATCATCTCCGGCATCTCCATCATAGCCTTGCGTCTCTCCTCCAAGCGAGATTCCATTGTCCGCTCCCACTTGTGACCCTTGACCTTCTGTCCAATACCGGTACCCTTGATCTGTAATCCTTGCTCCTCCCTTCTCGTTTCCTTGAACTCGGTCGATTTGCGGCCTGGAGGTAGTAAAGCCTCAACGTTGTACTTCTTGGCCAGATTCACCAGGTCGGCCTGTGTCCGGAGCCCATATCGGGGGCCAATCCACTTGCCCGTGCGGAAGTTCTTGCGAGGCAAGAATGGGTTGGGATGATCTGGGTTGGAGTAAAGGAGAGCTCGGGACGGAGAGTACTCGGTGGGGTCTGGCCGCTTGTGGCCTTTCGCATCTCTGTTGGGTGTGTACGGCGATGGCAGAGACTCTGCATTGACTTCTTCTGTGGGCTCTGGGCGTGGTGCCACGGCCGCGGAATAGATTTGCGGAGGATAGCGGGCAAAAAAGTTGCGTAGTCGTTGAGGAAGCTTGCTCACCAAGCTGCCAGCTGCTTGGGTGGTCGACATGATGGAAGGATTTGTCACACCACACCTGCTCTTTTCCGGGGCGAGACAAAATTCCGATCGGGACAGAGGGTGAAAATGGGATCTTGTTGATAGATCACGGGGGAGTGCTTCCAGATGCTCGTCCGTGTTGGAGAAATTGAAATGGGCGCTAAGCCACTTTCGGGTGAGGCTCGGCAAAAAGTAAAAAAGGGCGCGGGTGTGGCTGGAGAGTTCAGATCTCTTCCCTTGCGGAACCTAACGTCCATTCTCCTGTCGCTGCCTGTCTTGTTTGTGTCTCCCTTTTCTATTTGCACCGGGATCGCTATTTCTCATCGCTGAGTGTGATTCCATACCTTGCGCATCATTAAGCGCCGTAATTAGTCCACAACCGACGGCCATCATGGCGGATTATAACTATGGAGGCTCCGAGGAGGAAAATGCGGAGTTGAGGAAGCTCGAGGCCGAGTTGGTATGATACGTCTATTACCTGTTCTAGACCTATGCAGCCCATGACTTACAGTCTGTTACAATTATAGCTCGATGACCCGGATAACTTTGAAACCTGGGAACGACTGGTTCGCGCTGGTGAGGCGCTTGAAGGAGGAATTAACCGCAACTCCAACCCTCAAGCTATCACCACCGTCCGAAATGTCTACGACCGATTCCTTGCCAAGTTTCCACTGTTATTTGGATATTGGAAGAAATATGCCGACCTGGAATTCTCCATTACCGGAACGGAGGCAGCAGACATGGTATGGATTATCGCTCTATACTCTTTCTCCCGGCATGTTCATCGCTGATTCTGTAGGTTTACGAACGCGGTGTTGCCAGCATTTCTCCATCCGTTGACCTTTGGACCAACTACTGCTCCTTCAAGGCGGAAACTTCCCACGATGCCGACGTCATTCGAGAGTAAGTATACTAGAACTGGTTTCCTTCCTCCCCCCCTGTAACCGTTACCAAGGCAGCACGGACATTATTGTGGTGTCGAAACCGCATAATGTAAAAAGCGTTGACAACAGTTCCCTTCAATGATGGGTGAGATGTTTGCCTGACCCGGATTCAACTGGAGTTACTTCTCACCCATGACATTCTCAGGCTGTTTCCTTGCCCTTGAACATTGTTGCTTTGAGACCAAGCATCATTCCTTGCACGGATATCAACCCCAGTGACTCTGTCCGGTGGATCCTATTCTGCGCACGATGCAGACGGGGGAAACGTTTTCACAATATTTGCTCACCTTAGTCGTTCAATTGTTTGGGCTCGCACTGAAGATTAAATGCTCATGTTTGCCATCCTTGCCAATTCCCTTTGCCTCTCGCCTCCCATCCCCAAACTTGTGGCTGGCGAACTTAAATTGCTAACGTGTCTTGACTTTTGCAGGCTATTTGAGCGTGGTGCTAGCAGTGTTGGCCTAGATTTCCTTGCACACCCATTCTGGGATAAGTATATCGAGTTTGAGGAGCGAGTGGAAGCCTATGACAAGATCTTTGCCATTCTTGGCCGTGTCATCCACATCCCAATGCATCAATATGCTCGTTACTTCGAGCGCTATAGGCAACTCGCGCAGACTCGTCCGGTCGCAGAGCTAGCTCCTCCAGAGACACTGTCTCAGTTCCGTGCAGAGCTTGATGCTGCTGCCGGACATGTTGCTCCGGGCGCAAAGGCCGAGGCCGAGGTCGAGAGGGATATCCGACTGCGTGTTGATAGTCATCACCTCGAAATCTTCTCCAAGACACAGACAGAAACCACAAAGCGTTGGACATATGAGTCCGAGATCAAGCGCCCATACTTCCATGTGACCGAATTGGATGAGGGTCAGCTGTCCAACTGGAGAAAATATCTCGACTTTGAGGAGGCCGAGGGTTCATACTCACGGACTCAGTTCCTGTATGAGCGCTGTCTGGTCACATGTGCCCACTACGACGAGTTCTGGCAACGCTATGCCCGGTGGATGGCCGGACAGTCTGGCAAAGAGGAGGAAGTGCGGAACATCTACCAGCGCGCAAGCTATCTGTATGTGCCGATTGCCAACCCGGCTACTCGCCTTCAGTATGCCTACTTTGAGGAGATGTCGGGACGGGTAGATGTAGCCAAAGAAATTCACGGCGCCATCCTCATTCATCTCCCCAATCACGTTGAAACTATTGTATCTCTGGCCAATATGTCTCGCCGTCACGGTGGTCTCGAGGCGGCAATTGAGGTGTACAAGAGTCAGCTCGACTCGCCGCAGTGTGACTTGGCCACCAAGGCAGCTCTTGTTGCGGAATGGGCCAGACTCCTCTGGAAGATCAAGGGCTCGGCTGAGGAGGCCCGGCAGGTGTATCAACAGAACCAACAGTTCTACCTTGACAGCCGGCCATTCTGGACGAGTTATCTTACATTCGAGTTGGAGCAGCCCACAAGTTCCGAGACGGAGAACGTCCAGTACGAGCGCATCAAGCAGGTCACTGATGACATCCGGTCCAAGAGCACTCTTACTCCAGACGCAGTGAAGGAACTCGTGCAGATCTATATGGTCTACTTGCTTGAGCGAGGGACCAAGGATGCGGCGAAGGAGTACATGACTCTGGATCGCGAAGTCCACGGCCCAGCATCTGTTGCTCATGCAAAGACCGGCGCCGCGGCTCAAGCCCAAGCCCAAGCCCAAGCACAAGCCCAAGCACAAGCCCAAGCCCAAGCCCAAGCGCCTCCAAGCGCCAACCAAGCTACTCCCGTCCCTGAGCCCCCCGCGGTTCCCACGCCGCAGCCCAACCCCTACGCTTACTACCAACAGGCTCCCGTCAATGGCACAGGAGCTGCCTAGTCGGCCAGTGTTTGTATCACCCTCCCCAGCCTGAGCATGAGGTGAATGACTCTGTGCAGAACCTCCAGGTGACTCACCTTGTGTAGAACAGTACTTGACTTCTGATTTCCTTAGCGATTTGGCTTTTCGAGGGGGCGGAAGCTATCTCGTCAGCTATTTGCCCGTTTCTCGACTGCTTTTATGGTTTTATTTCTCTTTCTCTCTCATTTTTCTATGATATCATACGACTCGATTGGGTGGAACTTTACGAGCTTGGACACTCCCCTTGTATTCTAATGCTTAGGTAGTTTATTCTCAATACACTCCCACGGACTTGAAGTATCCATGTCTTCGTCTAAGCACTTATAGTCCGGCCTCTTTGATGAGTACTTCGGCCCTGAGACGTTGGGAACCAGGTAACGCCCTCAAACGGCCTGTAAGAGGAAAGAGGTTAGAGACGATGGTATACACATGAAGATGGGAAGTGAAGAATGCCATCACACTTGAAGAGAAAACTCCCATCCCTAGCAATGTGTCTGATCCACTTCTCCCTCCTAAACTGCCCGAGTACATACAGTTCTAGTTCTCTTTTTGCTGCTCTGCTCCTGCTTCAGTTACTGTTTGATATGAGTGGAGAACCGTTCTATATACAGGACCCTGTTGTTTCAGGCTATGAATAGACATCGGCATATCGATAGTTAGAGGTCGAATAGATGACTTAGCGGTCAATCTTAAAAATAGAGTGCAAGCATGGTCCATGTGGTAATATTAGAGTCGAGTTGATTCTTCTAAATTAGCGATGATTGTTCAATCTAAAATGTTTCAAAAATAGGCATTTGCTCCGGTTACTAAAGCAGAGGAACCCACCCTGGGCCTGGAAAAAAAAAAAAAAAAAAAAAAAACCGCACTATATGAACGATGGAGACTTGATAGCGTGGGAGGACCAATATAGTAATTCCATGCCTTAGGAACCACTAATGATCAATATCATATTATTGGCTTTTCCCCACACCCACTCACTCCTTTTACTCCTCGACGCACGCACACACCTATATATCCTTTTCTTCTTCCTTGGATCTACTGTTACCCCTGGTACCTATATATATTGATCGAAATCGTGGGAATCAGCTAGTCCAGAGAAGAAAGGAAAAACGAAAGAAGAAGAGTACTATTCGGTCGAAGAAAAGATGATTTGCCTCTTCGCCTAAAACATTTCCGACCGCTTGTACTCGGGAAGCTCGGCCCGTTTGCCGTGTTTGAATCCCCTAACGCTACACTAACGCTTTCCTCTCCTCGTCTATCATTCTTGCCCCTGACGGGCTTAGACAAGTATCACTGTCTTTGTGCGGGGAAATTCAAGTAACTTCTTGCCCTCGCCGAGACCTTCCGTGATCATGGTGGCCGGTATCAGCAAACGTCAGCAGTTCCGCAATGAGCGGGCACTGCAAGATCTCGTTCGGTCGGTTCCTGGCAATGACCGATGCGCCGATTGCCAAGCAATGAATCCAGGTGAGTCGGGTGAAACGTCTTGGTTGCTGCGCTTCTGGAAAATTACGATATTAACGTATGGGGTTTCTTCACAGGATGGGCCAGTTGGAATGTACGTATATCGTCACCGGCTGGTGCTTGGAATTTCCCCCCGCGCCGGAAGTATGCAGTAGTCTGATGTAATGTGTATAGATGGGTATTTTCCTCTGCATGCGGTGCGCCGCGCTGCACCGCAAGATGGGCACTCATATCTCAAAGGTCAAGTCCTTGAGTATGGATAGCTGGACGGCGGAACAAGTCGATGTGAGTGGTCGCGTGAGCCTTTGCCGTATAGTGCTCAGGAGCTGACGCTGAGGGTAACTCCTTATCAGAACATGAAATCGCACGGGAACAACCTCATGAACAAGATCTTTAACCCTCGGAACGTGAAGCCCCCTGTCCCTGCTGATGTCGACGAGTCCGACGCATGCATGGAACGGTTTATTCGTCAGAAGTACCAGCACCGGAGCTTCGAAGACGGCAAACCCAATCCCCCGAGTCGTCAAGGTACTCGTGATGATCGCTCTCCAGAAGGCTCTCCTCCTCCTCTCCCCCCAAAGCCTGCCCGGCCCTATGGGCTTGGTCTGCGGTCGGCCTCCTCTACAACCAGCCTCCATCGACTGTCCAACCGGCAAGCCATGTCTTCCCGCTCTGAAACCTACGAATCGCCCAGATCAGTCTCACAGGGCATGGGGGCTTCTGTTGGAAGTAGCAATGCCTCCCACGAGTCTCAGATGGCCACCTTGCGGAGTATGGGTTTCACCAATGAGTATCGAAACTCTGCTGTTCTGAAAGGCTTGGACGGCAATCTCGACAAATCCATCGAGACTCTGGTCAGACTGGGGGAGGGCCCCCCGTCATTGCAAGGCAGAACGCCTGTTCAAACGACCACTGCAAATGGTACTGCTAGACAGCAAGCCTCCAGCAATCCTTTTGATCAGTTAGACTCCAAGCCGGCTCAGCCTGCTGGGCAGTCCTACAACCCTTTCGATGCTCCTACTTCGCAACCGGCTGCACAGACGCTCGAGGCGTCGTTCCAACACCTTCAGGTCTCGCAACCGCTATTTCCACATTCAACCGGGGGTTATCCCAACCAACAGCCATCTTTCCCTCAATCTCTTTACCAGCAACCGATCACTCCCCCTGTGATGCCTACAATTTCCCAGGGTGCCGTCGTGCAGTCACCGCAACCTGTTGATGGTGGTCACAACCCCTTCTTCCAACCCGGCAGCTACACTGCAGCTCCCAACCAAACCCCCGGCGTCGCTCAGACAAATCCTTTCTTCACCCAACCCCCTTCACAACTCAACTCGATGCAACCCCCTAGTCAGGCTCCAGCTGGATATCCTCATCCACCCCGACATGCCAACACCATGCCGGCCATATCATCCACCTCCCCGTTCGGTACCGCGTCGCCGTTCCAGCAGCAGCAACAACAACCACAAATTCAACCGCCCCAACTCCAAGTACAACCACCCCAGCAGACGCAAGCATCCCACAATCCATTCCAGCCCATGACAGCGCCCTCCACCCCGCAAAGTGCGGGGTACCAAGTGCAATCACACCTTGGCCTGCAGGCGCCCGCGCAACATCTAGCCCCACAGCCAACCGGCCGCATGGACAAGAACAGCATTCTGTCATTGTACGGCCTTTCCCCACCACCATCGGCAACGTTAGAGCAGCCCCAAATCCCAAATCCAGCAGGAACGATTCCCGGCCCCGGAACAGCACCGGCACCGACCCCTGGCTATGCCACCACAACACAACCCCAACAGCCCACAGACCTCCATTCCGCAGGCACCCGGAACCCCTTCCTAACCACTCAAGCGCCTGCCGCTGGACTTCCCCAACAGCAACAAGCATACCTCCAACAACAACAACCCCAACCCCAGTACACTACCACCTCCCCCTTCACCATGCCCATGAAAGCCAACACCATGCCACCTGCGGCACCAAGCGCCTTCCCAAGACCGCAGGGTCACATGAGCCAGCAAAGCGTCGATATCAACGCCTTCCAAAACGGCCGACACAGTCCCGATGCATTCGCCAGTTTGAGTGCGCGGTATGGTTGATTTTTATCAGTACATGCCTTCATATCTACATATCTGCAGTTACATATTTATGATCATGCATATCTCCACACATACAAATATGTATAGATATGTTGTATGGAAAAGCTTTCGGTACATATTCCGATCTGTGTGTTGTATTTACAGATCGCTTTAACTCGGATCGATATATTTTTCTTGTTTCTTTGGCGTATTTGATTGTATTAGTACATTTCTTGTGCATCTCTGGCGTTGAGGGAGATGGGTTGGGAGGTTGAGACTTGACTATCACTGGGCTTTTCGGCTTGGTGGAGGCTTGATAGATAGGTATATATATAGCTTCTTTCTAGTCACTTTGGCAATCTACATATAGAGCTGGACTGGTTATGTGTATAGACTTAGGACCAATGAAGAGTATAGACTAAGACAGAGTGAGGTATCTATCTAAACTTTGATACAAAATAGAATATATTCAAGGAAGTGAATCAAAGAGGCATAGATGAGAAGGTAAGATTAAGACCAGAGGTCCCGATCAACGGCTCTGGTTTTCTTCTTGGAAGATTTCGGCCACGTCCATGATGGAAAGGTCCATGAGGATTTCTTCCAGACCGGTAACTGGATTCCGAACCAGGTCCGTCTGCGTCGTTCCCAGGGCCAGGACCAGGTCGAGGATGCCGATCGCCCGGACAGAGAGGATGTCCATCGGGTCCAAGGGGAGGATTTCCGCTGACCGGGCGCATTCTTGCGGAACGTTTCCACGATCCGATCGAATTGACGGTCGCGATGCTCGAGATTACGCTTCCGCGTCGCTGATCGCCAGGCGGCTTGTTCCTTTGGGTCGAGGCACCAGACAATGATGTCGCCTCGGCGACGGGAGTCATCGTGCCAAGCGGTGTTCCAGGTGCGCCAACACTCGCCGTAGGAGCTACTGCGGAGAAGGCTGTGCAGGGTGGGTTCCATCTGGGCGAAAAAGATGAGATAGTCGGGCCATTCGTGCGGAGTGGCTTGCTGGTAGGCTTGCGCGCTGGTTTCTCGAGGTTTGGAGGAAGCCAGATAGTTGGGCGTTCGAGGTAGATGGCGCAGTCCGCCAGCCATGTTATCGCGCAGGAATTGGCTGGGGTCGTTGTAGAATTGGTCGGCCTCATCGACGTATACAGCCTTCTGGGACTCGTTCAAGTCCACAGGTGGTTCACAAGATAGCGCCCAGGTATGAATGTTTGAATCGACCAAGTGGGAACGCCATGGGGTGCTGTGGCAGGGCATGAGGAACCCAGCCGTGATCCGCTGCAAAGCACCAGGCGAGTATGCGGATTTGTCCACAGTGCTGTGAGCTTGCTGCTGGTCGCGGAGGTACGAGAGAACGCTGATGGCCCCAGATGCGTGGTATACAGATGTGTAAATTGCAACAGTGATGTTGACCAGCAACAAGAAGACAAGAGACAGCCGTCTGGGCATGTATGCCCCGTTTGAATGAGAGACAGCCGGGAGAAAGAAGTCCACCAGCGGCGGGGCCGTCAGGACATGTAGTGTGGGCAGCAACGGATAGATGAACCGCACTTCCTTATGGGAGATGAGTGAGAGCACCAGCGGCATGAATAGACAAATAGCTGCCAGTTGAATTTGCACAGACGCGTGCCGAGCGTTTGGTGTAGTTGACCGGGACTGGATTAGTGTACGATATAGGCCGACAAGGGTAAAGGGCAGTGCGGTCGTAAGCAGAAGGGGATAGCCTTGTGTCGCATAATAGTGCCAGTCATTCCTCCCATAGTAGACTGCCAGAGACTGGGCTATGTTGAAGTACAGGAATCTGAGTGGGGGAAACGTCCAAACTCCGTAGTACAGGCGATCCAGAACGGTCGATCCGGCGAGGACAGAGACACTGGATAGTGGTGAGTAATTAGACTTGAAACGCACGTCGACCAACTTACCCACAAAGCAAAACCTCGCGACAGAGGATCGTCCGCTCGCGCCAAGTGCTCCGAAGCCATGCGACGCCAGCTAGGCCCATCCAGATCAGAACGTTTGTCGGTCGCAGGATACACGCCAATGCAGCAAGAGTAAGACATTTGCGCAGTCTAACAGGTATTTTCTCAGCAAAACTGATGGGACCATATCGAATGAACCAATCATACCTGACAACAAGAGCTCCACCACCGGTGCCATTCACCCCTGTATCCTTAGTAGTGGAGCGCGTGTTCTTCCTCAGTTGAACTGTTGGTGTGGATTCCGACGACCATTCCCATGGCCATAAATTGAGCGCGACAATCGTAATTGTGGTTTCGAGGCAATTGGATAAAGTCCGGGTCGAACAAAACCATTGCCAGGGGCTGAGGACGGTCAAGGCGAGCTATGATCTCGATCAGTCTCCGGATACTCTAAGCGGGCGGATCTTAACATACAGCAGCCCAGGCTCCATGACTGCGACGTCCGTACACATAACGGGCTAATTTCCACGTATACAGATCTCCAATGGCAGCGAGAACGGCCTGCGCCGACTTTGGGGCGACAATGAGGAGATCAGCGCGGAATGCGGGGGAGAGATGAAGAGCGCGCGCGGCAAGGTCGGCGATAGAATAAATTGTAGCAAATAGCAGGGGATGGATGGAAGACCGCAGATGGTGTCGCCATTCCTACAGGATGATCCAATTGGCACCAGTTAGTTTCATTCCGCGGAGATATGTGTTAATGCGCAGATTGTCCCACTGACCCATGTTATCCAAGCCCCGTGGCTTTCGCCGAACGCAGTGTGCCACGCCGGTTCAAGCGATTGAAAGAACTCATCGGGTTGAAAGAAGGTGCGAAGGGACAAGGCATTGAGGAGACGCAAGGCGATGAGGAAGAGGAAGACGTGAGAGGTTGACACGGTCGTTGTACGCGATGGTGATGGTGGTGATGTTGATGTTGATGTTGCTGTTGCTGTTGCTGTTGCTGTTGCTGTTGATGGGGGTGGTGGCCTCAGGCGAGAAGACGGAGAGGTTGTTGTTGATGTCCACGACGCATGAGATGATGAGGAAGAAGAAGACGATCGCGACGAGGAGACTTCTAAAGGGGATCTCCGTCGTCGTGACGAAGTTGACATGGTTGCAGCAGTGGTGGAACCCCTTACCAGGAACCAACTAGTAAGGAGATAAGGATAAGGAAACACAGACGTTCTAACTTAGATCCGAAAACTGGAGAGAGCGCGAGAGAGTCAAAACGAGTCTTAACCGGAAACGGAAAGGCGGAAGAAGGGTGACGGCTTCCAAGTGGTAATGAACGAATTGTGAGTGGAAGAAGGAGGTAAAGAGTGGATCGTCCGAAGGGCCATGGGACGATTTGCATCATAGGCTATGGAGGTCGCGGCTAAACCTGCGCATAGGGGTATGAGACTCGATACACCTGCACTTAGGGGAATCACGCCTGGCTGCACCTGCACTTAGAGGTATAGTCGCCTTTCCACTATGTGGTATTTTCGTTACTTGATATCTCGGTGAATTCTCTGGCTCGCTTGGCTCATGCCCACCAAAGTCATTCTCGTGAATTCTTTGTTCTCTATTTAAACTCGCTCTTCCTCGCTCTCAAGCCCTTGGTTTTCCCTCTCCCGTCTCATATCAGATCTGACCGTAATCACCAACACCATCCCCTCCTTTATCCCACCATAAAACCCTATCTCCCACCGTCATTTTTCCCTGAATAGATTCCCTCCTGCCTAACATGGCGGTCAACGGCACAAACGGCACCAATGGTCACAGTGGAAGCAACGGCACCAGTGCCTACCACGCCGCCTCCACCCAAGAGGCGATTCAAGCCGAGAGTGATTTTGCCGCCCACAACTACCACCCTCTCCCTGTCGTCTTCGCTCGGGCTCAGGGCACCTCGGTCTGGGACCCCGAAGGTCGTCACTACCTGGACTTCCTGTCCGCATACTCTGCGGTCAACCAAGGCCACTGCCACCCTAAGCTAGTCGCCGCTCTCGTGGACCAGGCGTCGCGGGTCACCCTGAGCTCTCGTGCCTTCTATAACGATGTCTTCCCACGCTTCGCCCAGTTTGTCACTCAATACTTCGGCTTCGATATGGTTCTGCCCATGAACACGGGTGCAGAGGCCGTCGAGACCGGTATTAAGATCGCTCGTAAGTGGGGATACAAGGTCAAGGGTATTCCGGAGAACCAGGCGGTCGTCCTGAGCGCGGAGAACAACTTCCACGGTCGTACAGTAAGTGCTGCGTCGGAAACCTGTCATGAGATGTTCAGTTAGCTAATCGGTCCGTTCCACGTTTAGTTTGCTGCTATCTCCCTGTCATCTGACCCCGAGTCGCGTGACAACTATGGTCCTTACCTGCCCGGCATTGGGTGTAACATTCCCGGCACTGACAAGCCCATCACATACAACGACAAGGCCGCTCTGCGGGAGGCCTTTGAGAAAGCCGGCCCCAACCTGGCGGCCTTCCTGGTTGAGCCCATCCAGGGTGAGGCCGGCATCGTCGTTCCGGATGAGGACTACTTGCAGGAGGCGAGAGCCCTGTGCGATAAGTACAACGCTCTCCTGATCTGCGATGAGATCCAGACGGGTATTGCCCGCACTGGTAAGCTTCTCTGCCACGAGTGGAGCGGCATCAAGCCCGATCTGGTGCTGCTGGGCAAGGCCATCTCGGGCGGAATGTATCCCGTCTCCTGTGTTTTGGGCCGTAAGGATGTTATGCTCACCATCGAACCCGGTACTCATGGATCGACTTATGGTGGTAACCCCTTGGGCTGTGCGGTGGCTATCCGGGCCCTGGAAGTTGTCCAGGAGGAGCGGATGGTCGAGCGGGCCGAGAAGCTCGGCCACGTCTTCCGCGATGGCCTGAAGGCCATCAACAGCCCGATGATCCAGACCGTCCGTGGCAAGGGTCTGCTCAATGCCATTGTCATTGACGAGTCGAAGACCAATGGACACTCTGCGTGGGATCTCTGTATGTTGATGAAGGAGAAGGGTCTGTTGGTAAGTACTTTGAATGTTCCAGCTGTTCATGTGGATGGTGTTAACCTCGTCCCCCAGGCCAAGCCAACCCACGAGAATATCATTCGTCTCGCTCCGCCCCTTGTGATCACCGATGATGAGATCAAGAAGTCCTTGGAGATCATTGCAGAGGCCGTATCGGAGCTTCCCACCCTGAAGGGTGCCGCCGAGGAGCAGGTGATCCCTCCCCCGGAGAAGAAGGTCAAGATCGGCGTTGAGAACTAAAGAGGCTCGAAGAGAAAGGGAGAAGATGGGGAGCCCGCGGAGGAAAAAGCGCCACTGACTACCTTACATAGTCACCCAGACCCCTACCTCGTCCACATGCTGTGCGTGGGCACCGGCCGACGCAAGACGATCAATCGATCGTCCGTTGAGTGTGGGAATGGACCGAGAGTAGGGTTCTCACGTTCCAAAAAAAGATCGAGATGGATGATTGGACTTGAGAAGGGATGCTGGTTTGATACTGCTCTGATTCGATAACTGTTGTAAAAAAGTGCCAGGTTGAGCTATGGCTCAATCCTGGATAGCAGCTATATCATGATGAGAATGAAATAATGAATGATGAATTTGACACCATTTGGGATTTTAGAGAGAGAGCGTAAAAGAAAGGAGAAGCGGGAAGAAAAAAGGAAGAGGGGTTTGGCTGAGGTCGTAGAAGCTGTTGTTGTTGTTGCTGCTGCTCGTGACTTGGTCCCAAACAAATGCCGCATGGTTGCACCTGCCCTAAAGTGATACTCATTTCTACTCGTTCTTTTTCCCCCTCAGCACCTACTAAACCCAGCTACTAGTCCTATCCAGGCCTAATCCGAGGTGAGGATCATTGATCGGGCCGAGGCCTTTTTATCTACCCTCTTACGATGCAGAACGGAGTTTCCTGCATATCCTACCAGGGGTAAAATCCTGTAGTGAGAGTCGCGTGCCTCTCGTCTTCCACCAAAGTTTCTTACTGCTTACATGTTATCCAATGATATGGACCATACTACTCTCTTGTCTTATATTTCCTTATCTGACGGGAGACAATATGGCAAAAAGGGGGGAAAAGAAGGGGTTTCATTTCTGCACCGTTATTAAGTCCCGTCCACCCGTAGCGTTGAAAGAGCACGCTGCACTTCAGGAAGGCACGTGGAATAGCTATCGTTCTTTCTGTAAACTTTGCAAATAATAACGAGACTCGTGGACCTGCTACCAATTGACATGGTAGGTCATGTCTTACTATGTGGAATGACTTGAGATGGAAGATTGTTGGTGATTATAACGGATGAGCCGGCTACATACAGGTAGATGTACGGCGTACGCTAACTTAGGTACCAATCACACAACACCCCCGTATATACGAGCTGTAGCAACTTTCCCAATTAATTCAAAGACAAGAAGAAGAACACCGATTAAATATCTAACAGACGCAGGCAAGGTATAAAGATAAATTTATAGACCCCTGCGTGATCGCATCACAATAAAAGAGAACAATTCGCAGACAATATATTCCCGTATACAGCTGCCACCTTGTTCTGGAGTGGGGTGCCTTCAATATCTAAAAGCATTCCAACGGCGACCGTAATTGGGCTGGGCTCAGGCGCGTCCGGGGCGCTCGATAGTGCCTTCCATTGTACACCTTCGAGGTCATTCTTGTGAGATACGGTAATACGGAATGGATCGCCGTGCATTATAACCATGCTGACGACCGGACTTCGCTGGTATTCAGCTTTCGGGACTGCGACACACTGAGGTCTAGACATTTCGACGTGTCTACCACGGCGATTTATTTAAGCTGAACATTCCACCCTGACACCTTACCCGACCTCTGCTGGTGGTCGATCAGGTGCTGATTCCATGCAAGGCGTTCGTAGGCCGCCTCGACATCACGTTCAAAGTTGGCCCAGGGTCTCAAGCCTCCAGTAAAGGTTGTTCCGCAGCATAGTAAGCCTCTCTGAAGGCTTTCAAGCCTTCTTCTGCATCCTCTTTCGAGATACCACTTCCTTTCTTGTCTTGAGGTACATGAATATTCCATTATAGAAATTCCTGCCAAAGTACCTATAGAGCTGTGACGTCCATGTACTCATATTCGCTCAGGTCCAGCACTGGGAGATGAACGAAGAGCAGTAGCAGAAGCAGAAAATGCCCAGTGGTAATTTATTAAGCAGCGGCAATAGAAGCATCATTCGCATGGGCACGGCAGACGAGGAGAAGGAGAGTCACTGTGCCTAGCAACGGACTTTAGTCCAAGGGCATAACTGCCTCTGTCACTCATGACTAGTCTGTAAAGTATTGGCGGGTAGTAGTGTGCGATGAGACTAAGGTTTGCCTGGTCTTTGCTAGCTCTTTATGCGTCCATCGCTGTAAAAGCACAGTCCTTTGTATTCACAGATATGGAAATGCTGTCAGTTGAAATAGTTACGGTGGAGCCTGGAGGTCATTCTTCCTCATGCGGTAACGTATTTCACTAGCGGGATGGCCACACAAGCGGGATAGCCACCCCACGCATTTTGACCACGGTGGAAAACCTCACCCACTTCAACCACCAATCATGCCTCCAAAAGCGCGTCAAAATTCAAGAAATCTAGTTGAGCAAGAGGGAAGAATTCTGCTTGCTATATCTGTTTTAAAAAATCAAGAAATCAATAGTATTCGCGAAGCAGCACGTATTTTTAATATCTCTCGCTCAACTTTACAAACCCGACTACACGGTATACCAACACGTCTCGAAACACGCGCCAACAACCATAAGTTATCTCAAAATGAAGAGGAATCGCTTGTACGATGGATTCTATTATTAGATCGACGTGGAGCGCCTCCTAAACTATCAGATGCGCGAGAAATGGCTAATATTCTTCTTACTGGCCGCGGTACTATACCCATTCAGTCAGTCGGAGTGAACTGGGTTACCAACTTTGTTAAACGCCGTCCTGAAGTGAAATCTTGCTTTTCTCGACGATATGATTATCGACGCGCTAAAT